AGCACCAGCGAAACGCGCAGAGAGAAGCGAGGCAAGGCTGCGGCGAGGGCCAGAGGGCCAGGGCCGAGGGAGGAGGAGGAGGGGGAGGGGGAGGAGGAGGAGGAGGAGGAGGAGGAGGAGGAGGAGGAGGAGGAGGAGGTGGTGGTGGTGGTGGCGCTCCTCATGAGTCCGAGGCGGATCGAACTAGGGAGTGTGGGAGCTGGTGCCCCCCTCATATCTGCAGCTCGGCACCTCACCCACGAGGGGCACTAGCGGCAGCCCCGTGCATGCACGGGGGTAGCCAGTGCACAGCCCGTGCCGAAGCGGCTCCTTCCTGCACCAGGGAGGCGAGACCAAAAACTTAAACCACCAACTCAGACTTAAACCCACGGTCCAGCAGCAAGCAGCAACGACGCGGAACAAGGGCGGGCGAGCGGGCGCGCTACCAAGGCGCCACCACTCACCCCCCGAGGGAGGGGAGCGCTGGCACCAAGGGAGCGCCCCCGAGGGGGGAGGAGAGCCCGAGGGCCGAAGGAGCGGGAAGGGCGAGAAAGCGAGAGAGACGACCAGACACGACGAGGAAGCAGGAGGGGACCGAAAACTCGCACAGACACTTAGCCTAGATAGGATTTCTAATTCAGAACGCACACAAACACAGAACCCGAATTCAAGGCCCAAAGAAAAAGTTCGCTGCTCCAAAAAGTTAGGCGGGGCGAAGAGAAGAGGGACGGCGGCAGCAGCACACGGCGCCTTCATCAGCAGGCTCAGGTCACGAGGCGCTCGATGGAGGTACCCTCCTCGACGAAACCGATCCACGCGCGGCAATCATTCGAGGCGGGCGGCGCACCTATGATCCACTCAGGGTCCCTGAACCACACGTGGCAATCATCGTCGACGGGCGTCTCACCTATGATCCACTCGCGGTCCCTGAACCACTCGTGGCAATCATCAATGACGGGCGTCGCACCTATGATCCACTCAAGGTCCTTGGACCACTCGTGGTCCCTGTCGATCATCAGCTAGCGGCCGACCTCCAGAACCTTCTGGCCCTCCAGCTCTAAGTGTCCAGGCGGCCTCGGCCCCGAGAATGCCGCTCGCTTCTCCACCGACTCGATGGCGCTCACGGGGATCTTCTCGAACTTCTCATCCTTCATTCCGATGGTGAGACGCTTCTTCTTGATGTCGTACATCTTCTCGGTGCGGAAGAGGCCCACTATGTGCTGTGCCTCCTTCGACCCTGGCTTGAACTTGTCCAAGTACTCCTTCAGCGGAGCCTTGAACCCTTCCTCGCAAGACTCCAGCATGGTGATGATCGCAGCCGTCAGCAAGAATGAGTCTGGCGCCCCCAACCCATGTCCAGCCTTCCCCTTGACCCTCGGCAGGTACTCCTCTGCGTGGGCCTTTGCAATGGCCCTCATGATGGGGCCCTCCACTAGCATCTCGATCTCCACCGTGCACGCTGCGGCCAGCAGCCTGGCCTTTTGATTAGCGATCACACCCAGCTTGAGCGCTAAGTCGATCTTTTGCTTGTCCTCCGTGCATTCAATCTGGCGGTACTTCACAGAGCGACCTTGTGGCTCAGCTGCAGCGTCACCAGGCCCTGCATGCGCGAACTGTTCCTTCCACATCGGCCGAACAGCACTGCACCTTGGACAATGGGCACTCACAGCCTGGTGAGCACAAGACCGCGACCGAAGCACTCGAGCCAGACATCGACGAATTCACACGCACACCGCACCTCTGAGGCACGGTCAACAGGGTAGATGTGTTAGCATATGCGCTCTCGCCACTTCGTACGTGGCGAACTCCTCACTACACAGTTCACACCAGTAAGGGGGGTCGGCAACATGTTGATGTACCGTGACGGACCCCCTCGACCTCGGACATTTTCCTTTCTTAATGGCTTGATCCAAGTGTTCCGACGCATAT